AACATCCCAACTGTGGTAGTGTTAGTAATCAAGCAAACCAGCGAAAGCGATGCAGGGAACCTCAACCATCGGCAGTAGTGAAAACTGTTAAAATCCGGGGAAAATGTTCAATCCGGGGTCAGGGCTGATGGCGGGTAATCGAGGCGAAATTAGGCCAATCTCCCAATAATCATGGGTTCCCGTCCCTTTCATCGTTTTTCATCATTCTTCCATTTCCTTAATTCTATTGTCGGAAATAGTAAATCAACTGTAAGTTCCCCAAAATTAGATTCCGAGAAAGTTTAAATAAATGGCCGAATTCCTTCTGTTTCTTTTCTCTTTTACCATTTTTAATCTCTTTCTATGTTTTTAATTTCATTGTCGGGAATCATAAAATAATAAGGGTAAACCCCCTTGAATTAAATGCCGTGAAAAATAAAAAAATTAAGGGATATTATGTTTTTCTCTTCTCCCGCACTGGTCTTAATCCCTCTTCCCCATCTTTAGTTAGGGTACTAAAATAGACAAACAATTGAGGCCTCATTTCGACCGCGGTCGTATGCTGCAAAAACGTTGCAGCGGGGCTAGTCCCCGCGATGCCCCCTTGTGGTCGGCCATACGAGGCCTAGCCTCAGATCGGGCTGAAATGACGGTCCCTAGATATGCCGGGAGCGGCTACCCATTTTGCCATCCCTGAGGGTTACTCGTAAGGTTCAGTGCGCCCAAATCCGGGGTGCCCTGAGTTCCCCTAATTTTTGTTGCCTGGTCATATCAGAGTACCGTCAAAACACGGACTTGTCCCTGAGCCTAAGTCCCAAAACCGCAGATTTCAGGCGGCGCACTTATTGTGACCGCCTGACAGTTAGCCCGGACCACTTCTCGACGCCCCCGTCGAGCCCTTTTCACTTACGTCAAAACGAAGCGGACGAGCTTCAGGGTGATTTCCCATAAAGGACGCCCATGTCGGCGTTCAATTGTCTTATGTTTCAGTTCGTTATGAGTTCTGGGATTAAGAAAACGCTTCTTGACTCCCCTTTTTCTTCGAAAATCTGGCCTGGAAAGGATTCTCTCTCTCTTCTGACGTCGGCCCGTGATAGGTGCCGACTCGTCAGCTTGTCTAATACGAACTCTCCGTCTGGCTCTCCTGAGCACGAATAACCATTTCTTCCTCTTTCCCATCGCCAACCCTTTGACCTTTCTTTTCTCCACCCTTTTCCTCTTCTTGGAACTCTCTCCCGCCTCATATCGCCTCGAGGGAGTTCCATCCTCCATTTTGGCCTTCCCTTTCCCTTTCGGGCCTGTCAGCGATAAGGTGGGTGCAGACCTGGGTCTAAACAACTTTAACCTAGCACCTGCCACTAGGCCCTTCCACTTGGATCCGTCTAATTCCGCTATCATATATGTACCCCAGTCGAGTGCCTCAACCACTCTGTAAGGTCTCATCCATCTGTTTGCGAGTTTTCCGGTCCAGGTCCTTTCCAGTGCTGCGTCGTAGAGAAGGACCATATCTCCTGTGCTCACCCTCTCCTTTTTGATCCGCACGTTCTTATCCCATCTCTCTTTACCTTTGTCCCTTTCCACTGCCAGACGATCTGCCGCTGTCATAAGGTTGTCTTCCAAGCCGTAGGCTATCTGTCTTGTTCGGGTAGCTATGAGCTCCTCTCGGGACATCTCCTCCGCCCAGTCAATGGTCGTCCAGCTGTCGATGTGAAATTCTATGGGGTGCGGAAAATGTCGCCCAAACCACAAGGTGTAGGGTGGGTACCCAGTGTTAGCCTGGACCGTGACGTTGTCCGCCCATATCGCATATCGAAAATACCGTGGCCAATCACTGTCCTTACCTTTGCACCACTTGGATAGTGACGCTATCAGAGTCTGATGCCCCCTCTCTACTGGGGAGTTCGACTGTGGGTGGTAGGCGGTGGCCATCGAAACTCTCGCCCCGGCTCTCTTGAACACACTCTGAACCTCGTCAGCTAAAAACTCAGACCCTCTGTCCATCACTATCTTGCTGATGCAACCATATTTACATAAGTACTCCAGGACGAAGTTCTTCACTTCCTTTGTCGTCTTACTCCTGATAGGTCTACCGTCCACGAACCCAGTGAAATCGTCTCGTATGTTCACGACGTATTTCATATTGCCTACTCCTTTCGGCATCTTCACCAGATCGATGTGTACCTTCTCTCTTGGTCTGGTGGGATATGATGGATGGAGAGGCTCTTTGTATTTCACAAGAGCTCTCTTCTGGCATTCCTCGCAGGTCATGCAGTACCTCTCGACGTCCTTATACTGTCCTTCCCACCAGTACAACCTGCGTACCTTTTCGTAGGTTTCTTTGACTCCTCTGTGTCCTCCGACTACCCCGTCGTGAAGTTCCGCAACTATCGTCTGTCTCTCCTCAGGGTCAAAGACTACTCGTAAGGGCATCCCCGAGCCGACCGGCCTTCGAAATAGATGGCCGGCTCTGAGGCAGTACTGCGCCGCTTGTCTCTGGATATCTGATTCTTGACTCTCCTCTCCTGACAGGTGTAGCCCGATCGTTCGGTACTTGCCCTCGTAAAGGTTAACCAGAAATCGTTCGGCGTACCTCGGCTCTACCAATGTCAGGGCCCCAGCTACTATCAGGCGCTCGACCTCAAGAGGGATGCGCGAAAGCCCATCTGCCACGACATTTTTAGTGCCAGATATCCTCTCAACTGCATAATCATATAGCCGAATCCGTATCAGCCATCGAGCAATGGTCGGGTCCGTCAGGCTAAAGTCCTTCTGGAGGACAGAGGCAACCGCTGTGGGATCTACTCTCAAGATGAACCGACGCCCATAGATATAGTGTCTGGACGTGTCCAGACACTGTAGAACGGCCAACACTTCCTTCTTGAATTGACTGTAGTTTCGTTCTGCCGTATTAAGTGTCCTACTCTCAAACCTTAACGGCCTTTCCTGTCCTTCAACGTCTTTCTGAGACAGCAACCCTCCAACTGAACAAGGTCCAGCATCCGTGGATACTATGAAGGGTCTCTCGGTCTCATCGTCAAAGAATGGCACGCCCAGTATGCGTCCTCCCTCCTTAAATTCGTCTTTAAGCTCTTGCATAGCGAGTTCCTGCGAGGAATCCCAGTAAAATTTTTCAGTCTTTTGAAGGAGTAACCTCAATGGCTCAGCCTTCTCCGCATACCCCCGTATGAATATACGCCAGTAACTGACCACTCCCAGAAACTGTTGGACCTCGGTTCGACTATGTAACGGTGACGGCCAGTTCAGGAGTTTGTCTAGCTTCGCCGGATCTGCTCGACGTCCTCTCGAGTCACAGATAAAGCCCAAGATCTTAATAGTCGAGACGGCCCATCGGCTCTTTGTTCCGCTGACCGTTAATTTCGCATCGTCCAGCTGCTCGAGTACCGCGCAAATATCTGTTAGGTGCTGCTCGACGAATCTTCTAACTCGTGGTACAACCTCGGTCTCATCCTTCTTTACTGGCCCCTTAATAGGAAAATCATCCAGAAAAACTTCAACCTTATCAGGGATGAAGTCCTTGAGGACGGCTACCATGGCTCTCTGAAAAACGGCTACCCCATTAGTCCAACCCATAGGGACGACCATCATCTGTATCAGTCCCAATGGCGTGTGCATAGCCGTGAGATGCCTGTCCCTAGGATCAAAGGGTACCTCATCATACCCTGAGAACAGATCACAGACCGAATAAATCGACCTGCCCGCGACGCCTTCAGCCAGTAAATCGGCATGTGGCACGGAGCCCACGTCTCGTATCGTCACCGCGTTGACTTTCTAAAGGTCCTGGATCCATCGGATCTTGCCATTCGGCTTTCGTAGGAAGAACCATCGATTAGCATAAGCGTTATCAGACGGTTCCGCAACATGGGAAACCATTTTTTCCTTCAGGAAAGCGATAACTTCTTCCTTCTCCTTCTGGGCGTATTTCCATCCTGCGTCATTCCAAGGAACATGTGGAATCATGTAAATCCTTGCTGGCTTAGCGTATCGAGGGTCAACCCTACCGCGCCCCGCGTCACTGAAAGCTATAGCCTTATCGCATGTCTTCAGGACTTCTACCACACGTTCTTGCTCCTGTGGGGTTAGATTTCCATCTCCGATGTCCATCCCTGCTATTCTCTCTTCCGTTAGGCGTTGCGGCTCCTTTTTCTTTCTTTCTTTGATTTCTTTGGCGATCTCTTCTTCCGATATCCCTTCCAGTGCAGATCGCTCGCGGCCCACCGCTGCTGGCTTAACCTTTTGAGCTACTCGCTTGTATCGCTTGGGTATCCCCCCATAGGGGGGCGTGCCCTTAAAAAAGACACAGATACCACCCCGCCAAATTCCTCATCTGTCTCCTTTGGGTACGAGTTGGCGTCTACTATCAGCCGACTCCCCAAATCTTCCACTTCCACGATCCGACCTTTGTCCTCTGTGAGCAGTGGTCCATACTTCTTCTCACGAAATCGCACCGCGCGGCCAGAGATAGGTAATGACTTAATCTGATCACTGGGTCGTGCTCCCACTGCGAGAGCTGCTCTGTTCCTCGGGTCCCGATACTCCACCGTCTCAATCATAACCCGCGTCCCATCTAGCTTCTTAATGGACAATGTTTGGCTCCCATCTGGTCGCTCTATCGTCACCGCATGCACGTGGCTCAACCACGTTCGTTCCAAGAGCAGATCAAAGCTGCAGTTCTTGACTGCAAAGACGGGTAGGGTCACTCGTACCCCTTGGACCTCTATGACTGCCTTGTGACAAACCCCAGTGATCTGTTGCTTTCTCCCATTAGCAGTCTCTATCTCGAATAGGTATGACCTATCGAGGCCCAGTCCAACCTGTACTGCCAGATCCTCGTTTATAATGTCAGCCTCACTGCCGTTATCGATCACAGCATCTAGTACCGCTCCATCGTTTATGATCGTCTCCACGGCCCCACTACCGAGTATGTAAAACTTGTCTGGAGGCGCACCTTCCATCCCATCAAGAAGGACTGTCGCCATGCGATCCGCTCTGGCAGTCACCCCCGTTACTGCTACGGTAGAAGCTTCCGCCTTAAGGGCCCCCCCTGAGCCTCCTCTGATAGAGGTATGCGAGTCTTCCGCGTGATCATCTGCAACTCATCGTGAGTCGGCTTCGATGCCGCCAGGTACTCCAGAATAGAGCACTGCATGGGCTGCCGAAGGGCCCGTCTAAGTGGCTCGACCATGTCAATCTCATCCAGCGAACTCTTCATCAAGAACTTCTTTACTCCCCGCTTTCACGGCGAAAGAATAACCTCCTCTCCATCGATCCGCTCTCCGCCGTCCTTCTCCGCCATCACGTAATCCGTGTCGGTCTTCTTCGATGTAGTCCCTCTCGCGGACTTGGTAGTTGCCACCCTTATGGGTGTGGTCGCCATATCTCCTTCGAAAGTTATCTTGATGCTCTGGCTCCTAACCGGCTCCTTTCCTTTACTCGGCTTTACTCTCCTTGCTTCGACATTCTCCTTCATCGAGGGGAACATCGATACGTCTCCCAGATCATCTGCCCATTTGACGTACTTGCGGTCATCAAGCACGACAAGGCCTTCATCTATTGCTCGTTTGAGATCCGGACAATCTCTCTTGATATGATCATCCCCCCTGCAGTAAACGCAAGAGTTCTTGGGTRTGGGTGGYCTGTCGTCTGCGCCTCTGGAGGTCGAACCTCTCGYKGCTCTCGGGTCAGGGGACTTCGGATACGGGTCAGCCGAAGCGCCATATCCCCCTCTCTCATTCCTGCCGCGCGAATCATTGCGGCGGTCTCCGTATTCGTATTGCCCGCGTGAATCATCACGTCGGTCTCCTCGGTCGTATCGCCCGCGTGAATCATCACGTCGGTCTCCTCGGTCGTACCGCCCGCGTGAATCATCGGCCCGATCTCCTCTCTCATATCTGCCACCCCTGTATCCGTCTCGATCCGATCTCTCATATCTCTCGTCTCTATACCCATCGCGGTTCGATCTCTCATATCTACCATCCCTGTATCTGTCTCGATCCGACCTTTCATATCTGTCGTTTCTACGTCCATCGCGGTCCGATATCTCATATCTACCATCCCTGCATCCATCTCGCCGGCCCTGATCCGACTCCCACCGGCCTCGAGAGTCGCTTCTACCCCCGTCAGGCTCATAGCGAGGGCTACACGAGTAGTCATCCAGTCTCCTAGCACGCCCATACATCTCGCGAGTCCTGCGGTCCCGGTCTATCTCATCATCCCTACGTCGACATGGCTCATCGTCTTTCTCCCTTTCCCTTGTACGATAATCAGTCAGTGTTCGAGGATTTCTATCCTCAACACTCCTCCAGGAATCAGTGTTCCTCCGGTCCCAGCGAAGTGAATAGGGCCCTCCGGGCTTGTTCCGGTATGCCGTGGCTCCTGTGGTGGTTACAATTTCTGTAACCTGTCTTGTCAATCCCTTTACCATGTCCCTTATCTCCTTCACTTCTTCGGCCACGGCTTCATTCTTCTTTGACCAGGGATGGTCCTTGAAATCAGGACATCTATCGGTGGCATACTCCTTGTAGAGGGAGAAGTCACGCCTCCTCATCCCTTTCCACACCAAGTCCTTGTAGTCATCTGCCTCTGCCTTTATCGCGAGCTTTAGGACTTCTGGGAAGTCAAGCTTGTCTCGCAGAAGATCTCTAAGTATACTCTTTTGTCTACCTTTGGACAGGTGGCCGATGAAGATAGTACAGCGCTCGACCTCTGAGATCTTCCCTTTCTTCATCAGCACGTCGGAGATCTTCTGGAAACGCATCCCAATTGCCCGTACGCTCTCATCTTCATCTTGAGTCATCGTCTCAAGGTCTTTGATGGAGTACTTGTTATCCTCCAATTTGTAAAGCTCAACGAGGTTCTTCTTGTACGTAGTCCATTTCCCATCCTTCGGTCGAGCTTCCTTAACTTCCCTACCGAGACTTGGGTCCACATTAAATAGGAAGTTTTCTATAATTTCTTCCTCTGACCACTGACTCCGACTTGCATGAAGCTCCCACTTCTCCTGATATTCTGTGATGCCATAACCCCTAAAAGTAGGTGGCTCAGAGGCCTTGTGCGTAATAATATAGCGATCCTTGCTCTCGTAAGGGACTGGATGCGACTCCCCTGTCTGGGGGTCGAAGACTCGCCTGAGCGGCCCTCTGTCTCTATCTCTGTCCCTCCAATAGGAATCCCTTGAACTCTCTCGCCAGTCGTCTCTGTGCCTATCCGCCATGGTCTCCCTCTGCTCATACTCGGGGGAGCATTGTCTCGTCGCTTCTCATCCACCGCTCAAGGTTCCCGTCTTCAGTGCCTCCTACGGCTCCGTCACGACCGGCTCGCCCATTACGTCGGGCTCTCCGTCATTAGTTTGGTCAGCCCATCTCAGCGGTGCTTCCCGCCTAATTCGTTCCTTCAGATCCCTTAGAGCTCGGTCGGGCGATGTCATGTACTCCTCCCCCACTTCACCTGTGGTTGGTTGTGGCCCCATCGCGTCTGGTTCCATAGGCCACCCGAAGACGCAGTTAGGCACTCTCGCCGGGTGTTACAGCCCGGACTTATGACAATTGCTGCAGCCCGGACCTGTGATAGAACTCGCAGCCCGGACCAGTTTCCTTGTCACGGTTCGAGCTCGTCTCCAACCCTAGCTCTCGACTGCCCTGATCACCACCACCAGTACTCGGTTCCGGTCGCGGATCTCGTGCTCTCCCTCTATCCCAAGAATCCCTGTGTCTAGGTAAACCTCCCCTTCGGCCTTCGGGATCGGCCAACAAGGCCGCGCCTCTCCGAATCTGCAGTACACCCGTGATAGGATCTCTACGCCTGCGGCAAATCGCAGCACCAAGCCTAGCCAATGTCTCCTGATCAGCTCCCCTCAAGAGCCTCCGTGCGTCTATCTCCGTCCTCCTTGCTAGGTTTCCTAGCCCGTCCTGAATCAGGTAGTCTGCCAAAGGAGGAAGTTCCCCTCCTACTGCCATCCAAAGTCGCTCGTCATCCTTTCTAGCTCCCACTATCTTTCCAAGGGCTTTCAATCTCTATTTCGCCTCCTTCAACTCCCAAACGACTATAAGGTCATCTGTCTAGCATCTGAGGTAAGTCAGTGCTATAACCACTTGTAACCTGATCGCCGACAACTCCAATATGTCATAGAATGTCTCAAAATCCTCTTCATCTCCACTATCTTCTATGGCCTCTAAAGTCTTTATCGACTCCCTCCAATACCGATCGTGAGCAGCTAGCACCCTGAGTATTGCACCGTCTGTCACAACTCTCCCTAGCTCTCCAACTTTCCTGGCTTTGCTTATCTTCAACTTCTCAGCCTCTCTGGTCGTCTCGTACCATGCCCTTATCCGGGACCGCCCTTCGAAAGGTGTTACTCGGAGTACGTATTTTATCCTCCGTCCTCCTTCTATTCCAATCCAAAGTCCTGTCCCCCTGGCCTCACGCAACGCACGGCGGACACACTCTGCCTCCTCAACTATGCACAGTCTGGTATGGAGCTGGAGCTTTACGATCACTAACACCAATGGTCCGTCCAATCTCCCTACCACATGCAATGAGTACCGATCCGTCGTGTGCAATGCAGTCCCGCTCATGTCCTGTCGCTACCTCCCTGCATTACCTCGTCCTCCGTTGTCACGCCCTCTGCAGACCTCTCACTAGTTCCTTCGCGTGATACGCTTCTAGCCTTCACCCTCTCCAGAAAGTCTGATCTCCACGCCTGGATAATCTCTCTTTCCTCCCTAAACAGACTCTCCAACTCTCTCGTCACGAGCTCAGCCCTACGCAACTTGCTCTCATCCTAGCACGACCAGATCTCCCTTAACTTGTTCCCCAACTCCTTTACCTGGTTCAAAAGCGGTTCTTTAATGCGCTCTCTCACTCTTCCGACAACACCACTCTCCTCTTCCATACTCAGTCTTCATCTTTTTCCAGCTCATCCTCTCACCCTTGCTCTAGCCTCCGCTACCGTCTCGTTGTGGAAGTGCTCCGCACGCATATAGCCATGTGACCATATCATCACCTCATAGGAAATCGAGGTCTGGAAGGTCACCCGCGCCAGTACATCAGCTCTATGCTCGTGGATCAAATCTCTGGCTCGTTTTCGACACTCCCCCGCCGTCAAGTCTTCTTCTACGTACGCTCGGAGAAGCACTGTCACAGTGTACCCTGTGCTTACCAATTGCTCTCCTACACGCATCACTGTGGTCGTCTTCCCCGGCATTCCCTAAGCTGCGGCCTCGAAGAGAAACCTCACATCCTCTAGCCCCACGTAATCGATCTCCGCTCGTCTCCTGCAGTACCTAATCAGATCGACTGGCCTCAGACAGTCCACCCAGCTGTCTCTTATACAGATGTCATCATGTATAAGAGACAGCTAGTAACGTCTATGATGTCATCAAGCGTCTCTCTACTAGGTGGTCCCCACCTCACACAAATGGCGTAGTATACTTCCCTGAAACGGGGCGCTAAGCCCTCCTAGAGCGCGTAAAGTGTGTGGTCCACTGCTCTGCTTAAACGATTGACGCTCCCATAGGTCTGCCCTATCACGAAGGCAGGAAGTCCGAATCGCCAATCCTCTCTCGGGTGGAGGGTCGGATGCGGAGGACCGTACACCAAGCGGCTCCAACGCGTCCTCCCTCCAAAGAGTCTCGCCAGTTGCTGATTAACGATCACTCTGGCCAACGACTCGCTTCTCCACCAAGCCCTGCTTGCCCCTGCAAGTGTCAGTCCTATCTCTAAATCGTGTACTCTATCCGCTATCAGATGTCTGACCCCTTCTAGATCATGAGTCCTCTTGGGTCGTTCGTCTCGTAGTATCACTGTCCAAAGGAAGAGTCCCTTTGCGAGCCACGTTCCCAAGTATCGTATCGGAACACGCGCTGTCCCTTCTAACGCCACAGGAAGTGAAATGTCGTATCCAACCGCCGTCTCTCTGGGTCTCACAAGCTTCCTCACGCTATACGATTCGGACTCACGTGAGAGAACATAGGCTAACCAGGCTACCGTGTCACTCCTCATCCCGCCTCCGACTCTCGATCAGCATTACTCTACTCCCTCCGTTGCACCCTATCTCTCGAAGTTGCTAACTCCTCAGACAACTCTCCCACTCAGGTCCAGTATGGTCGAGTAGGTGCTGTGCGCTCTCCCGTCTGCTCCATGGAAGTAGATAGTAAACTCGACGTACCTTTGACTCCTCCATATCTCCAGGGCATGTTCCGTCATGAGTCCGATCTGTCGCTCAACAATCTCTAACTCCTCTCCTTCCCAGCCACCCGTCCTATCTCGTCGCAGGGAAAGAGTCACCCTCAGTATATCCCGGTCTGCCATACTCTCCACTACTCCCTTCTCTAAACCTCACTCGGATATGTCCTGCCTCTAGTCGTCTCATGCATCTGGCATATCCTCATCTGTGTCCTCATCTACCCTCTGCCCCCATGGGATGTCCTCCTGCCCCTTGGCCTGAAGGAGATGACCCCAACCGTCCTCATGCGGCGCCTCTCCACCTACCTGCTCCTGTCGCTCAGCCCGCACCAGATCTCCCCAGTCCTCGTCCTGGTCGCCCCAAGGGTCTATGTCATCGAAGTCCTCCCAATCCCGATCCTCGGCGTACCACGCAAGATCGTCAGCCTCTGGATATACCTGCTGGTAATACTCCTTAGTCTCCCCGGTCGAGATGAGATGGCCCGGCCTCTCCTCACGAGTCTCGGCTAGCAGCTGTCCCACACCAGATAAATGATCAGTTGGCCTCCGAGCCTCTCTCTCTAGCGCCGTCCAGAAGGCTAGGGGCTGGTACAGAGAATACAGGTCTGAGCTCCCGATAGGTACAATGGCCCGCACGAACTCAATCAACTGGAGCCCTCACTCGCCTACAAGCGGCCCCGCTACAAACTGCACATACAGCACCCAGTCCCTGTCAGCGTACCCAAGGCAAAGGCCGTCCAAGTCAAGAGCCGCAGAGTAGATATCACCCAGACGTCCAAGTCCCCAAAGTTCCTCCGCCACGAAGCACGGAAGTGTTACACGTAGTCGACTACTAGGATATGGGAAGTGTCACACGCAGCCGACTACTAGGATATGGGAAGTGTCCTCCAATCCTCAAGGTCGTCGCCACTCCCCGAACACCCCCGTGCAACCGCTCTACCTCGCCCCGCGCGGAGTCTGCTCGGGCCAGTAAAATCCTCTYCGCGCTCTGCTCCTCTCGCCAATGATCGTGAACGATGCCGTGAAAATAGACTGTGGCTAGCACCTCCCGTGAGTAGTAAATGTGGCCCACTACCTCTATGCTAGTCGTGCCTGGTCATCGCCACCTCTGACTGTCTACGTCAAACGTCTCGATGACATACGTCCGCAAGTGTACGTCTGGGCCCAACACCGTCGATGACCATCGGCTCTCTAAACCCCTCTGGCCGACAGATCCAGTGCCACCTTGCCTGGCGCTACTGTCTCTGGAGGTCTAGGCCATCTAGCGTTGTCGATCTGAAGCTCCACTCCACTGGCCTGCTCTATCATCGATCCGCTCTCCACTATCCGCCGATATCAGTAGCTAAGCTCACTCACCGTTCTAATGTGCTACTCTGCCTCCTACGCCCGGATGACTACTCCTATCCTGGGGAAGTGGGCGTCCGTAACGTCGATCTCCTCCTCGTCAACCTCACTCTCTGGGTCGACCCAGTCAGGCTCCCAAGCGTCCTCGTCGTCCTCTCGCTCCCAACCCTCGTCGTCAAACTCGTCCTCGACGCGGTATGGGGCCTGTCCTATAGCCTGGTAGTACTCCGCCAACTGATGGCCGTATATCAGAGGTCGTCCGGCGTCCTCACTCCACCAGCTCCCCCAGTCGTCTAAGAAGAGCTGCCCAATGCAGGTCACGTACTCAGGGCCTGCTCGGAGCTCACGGTCTAGCCAATCCCAAACGCACGGAGACTAGGGCCACTCGTCGTCTATCGAACGGATCAACTCTATAAGTTGAACCCTCTTGTCACCCCAGCGAAGCCCACCGGTCGCGAGCGAATAATAGATGTAGTTGAGGTCGACAGGCCTTCTCGCCAGGATCTTGAGATCCTGATAGGCTAGGTATGTCTCGACCACTCCACCAATATCTCCAAAGACGCTCTCTACTATGAACGTCGGAACTATCGCCCGCAGACTCCTAACGTTGTACGGGAAAAACCCGTCCCGTGCTACCACCAGCTCGCCCGTGATATCTAGAGGAGGACGCCCATGAAATAGGGTTAACGGGTCGCTCGAGTCCTCCGCTCTGAAGGCAGCTACCTCTTCCCTCAGGTAGCGTTTCGCCCTGCTAAACGCGCCACTAGTCCCTGTCGTCGCGAGGCTCAGCACGGCCTCCGTAACCGCGCCCGGTCCTAAGTACAAGTAGGCCCTCACTACGCCCACTCCTTGCCCAGGCTGGTGCTCTCTGTGCGTCCAAAGCTACACGTCCTTTGACAGGATTATGGACCTCCACGCAAACTGGCCGTCAACGTGTCGAACGCTGCGCCCGGGGATCGTGAGTTCCACCAGATCCTCTTCTATGAGTTCAGGAGGCTCCAAGTCCCAGTCGATGGTGGCCTCATAGACCTCTACTTGCGCTCGCGGCCACATCCAACTGGCGACTAGGGAGAACGCAGCAAGAGGGATGGGTAGAGAAAGTGAAAGATAGGAGAAAAAGGTTTGTCGATCCTGAGGGAATTCCGGCAGCGCTTTGCCTCCCTTCGTTGGGAGCCCCGATATCACGCTGTCGATCTATCCCCTAACTATCCAAAGGTCCCCTATGGTGCTACAGGGCGGAGTCCCGGCTCTAAACAAGGCAACAGGCCCTATAGTCAAGTTCCCTCGAATAGAAGGCGTGTGCCCTGTTCGAGGGAACGCCGCCTCCGACTACTCCGGTCACCCCTCAAGAGTACAAATGTCCTCCCTTACCTAAGAAGCAAAATCAGAAGGCCCTCACCTTCTTTCGCCATCTTTCTAAGTCATTTTAATATTTTTAGGGGAATTTTAATAAATTTAAATAAATAAAAATTACTCTTATCTTCTAGAAACCCACTGGCCCTCGGCTACTGCCTAGAGGCATGCAATGCTTCCCCTAGGGAGCAGCGCGGCAAATGTGTTTCTCTTTCCGCCAATATTTTTCTGTATATAGCTCTATTTAATTTACAATAATTTCATTTACATAAGATACACCCCCTTTCTTATTTTACATACACTTATATCCCTTGTACATGTCTTTAGCCAAAATCGCTCGACCTCAAGAGGTCCCCGAAAATTTTGGCAGCACTTCGCCTCCCCCCGTGGGGATGGGGTGTGGCCGAAGGCCTCAAAATAGCCGCCGAAGGAGTATAGCAAAAGGAAAAAAATATAAAAAGAAAATATTAATTTTTAACCAATTTTTGAGTATTTTCTCTAATTATTTCCTAATTAATTCGAAATATTTTACAATTTTTCTAGAAAATTACGCAGTATTTCCCCTCCCCCCGTGGGGATGGGGTTTGGGCTTCCGCCCCTAGCTCAACAACCCGAAAGAAAAGACATCAGAATTTTTAGAAATAAAATAAAATTTAATTAATTCTTTTCCCCTATTTTTAGTATTTTCTTTAAATTAATTATACAAAAAAGGGAAAATGCCTAAAAATACAAAAGGCAAAGTATTTCACGTATATTTGCTTCTTCTTCGAGGTTGTTATCCGACTCAAAAACCCCGAATAAGTCTTCCCCTAACTAGGGTTTCCCCTAATTAGGGTTTAACTAACTAGGGATTTGGGAGCTTCTTGCGCAACCGCACGCTCACCTCCAAAACTCATCCCTTCCCAAAATTTTTCCGTTAACTCCACTCGAAATCTGCGATAACCTTGAAGGATCACTTTTTCTTAATCCCTTTTACAGTATTTTACACGAAATTCAAAAGAAATTATATTTTTAATTTTTGTTTTATCTCTTTTTCTTAGCTGTTACATTCCGTTCTTGCCTCTAACTACCTCCGTTTGCCCCGTCCAAGGTATCAAAACGACGGGAAAAATAAACTAAACAAATTTGGTCCAAGGGGTTATTCCAAAATAATGAACCAATTTTCCGCAAAAATTAAAAAAAGAAAACTGAAAATTTTGAATTAATAAATAGAAAATTGAAGAAAATTCGTTATCTCAAAATCTGACCGTTAGATTTCAGCAAGATACGTCTCGTAAAGTTCGCCTCCTCGAGCGAACGAACTTTGGCCTCTGCGTCCTTCGCGAGAAAACCCGCGATTATGAGGTATCTAAAAAAAACTAATTCAAAAATTAATCAAAAACACAACTAATCAAGAAAACGAACTAATTAGTGCATGGACTAATCAGCCCGCGCACCCCCGCTAATTGGGGAAGGCCGCGGCCTTGGGGGTGCAGTCCCATCCCCGGCAACGACGCCAAAATTGTGAGGATACCCGGGGAGGGGCTCCTGCTGTTCGTTGTAGCCAAGGGCCACGACGCCTGTCACTCGCCGCGCCCGCTTCCGAGGTCTTCAGCGATCAGCAGGGTGAGAAGAGGTCGTAACGCCCGTTGATCATGCGTCACCACAAGACCTCATTCATTATSACTAACAAATGCAGCAACAAGTGAAAATAAAACTCTTTCCACCGTGGTCAGCAAATACATCAGCAAATGAATACAAGGTCCAATAGAACTCTTACTGTGATCAGCGAAAACAAGGGGAAGTGAAATCATGGCCCTTTTCACTGTGATCAGCGTGCACAACAGCGAGTGAAAACAATGCCCTTTCATATGAGGACTGGGGAGTTAACACTCGTCGATTCAGACCTCTTTCATGATGACTTGTACAAGCACACACACCTCGGAGTGCTGTCAGGAAACATACAGTTGTCTTTTTTTTGTCTAYTRAACAATAATAATTAATGTTTGCATAAATGAGTAATCATCGGCCTACTCACTGGCCTTTCTGTGAGCAAGCCCTCACCGTTTGGGTTCGAAGTGTGTGAGTATGCAGAAAAGATCATGTCAACCTTTGAGCGYTGYTCGAATGACCGTTTGGAAAGGACCTKWAGAGTACGCTTCCACTGTTGCCCACTCATCCGCTCTCACACAGCCTGTTTTAGAAGCTAAACTATCCAATAATGAGAAAATAATTTAAAACAAAACCCGATTTGAAAGCCCACGCTAGCCTGTTCAATTGCAGTGTAGCCAGTACTCGTTTGAGAAGGCCGCTCATAGCGCCGACCAGTTGACTTTTGTCTCATCCGAGAGAGGTTCATGCTTCATCCGCATCTCGTTTTCACGGTCTCTCTCTTTCTGTAGTGTTTCTCTCAGTCATTCTCAGCGCAGAGTTTCCCTCTCTCTCCTTTCTCTCTCTTTTCTCTCTGTATGTGTGCTGCCT